AAAACCCTGATTCTGAACCAAACAAGAAGAGGCTTACGAAACACACGCACAACTCCCTGGTAGTGGCAGTGGTCACCGGCTGGATTGGGTATTGAGTTGTATTGGGCACCTTGGACGTTTGAGCCCCTCTAAAGGGCGTATGATCCGATGAACTGGACATCGGCTCCCAATGAACTGCAGACTCTGTGCTCCGTCCTGTTGTCCCGCAGGTCTGGCGTTTTAGCCAAAGGCGTCGGGTGAGAACCCCGAGGTTATCACCCTCTTCGGTCAGGGCAACCGGGAAGTAACCTTCCCAAGCAACGCACGAACACATTATGTTGAAGCACATTTACCAGTTATCTGTAATTGGCTACGTGTTGAAATAAATAATAAATAAAATATTGGAGCAAACCATTTGTTACAAACAGTAAATTGGCATCGGTGGCTCCCGTTATATCGGAAATGCGATGAGTCGCCTATTGAAGAGAACCTTATTGCTCAGCTTACAATCGTTCGGGTGTGATGAACAGCAGCTTAATGTGTCGTTATCTGATGTACCAAGACTGTGAATTTACACAGAGAATGTGGTTCGGTCTGCTTTAGCTTAATAAATACTTGCGAGCGAGTATTCCTTTCCATTTTTACTGTCGTAGAGTGGATAGCTGAATGGTGCTGTAGGATCCCACGGTGTGTAAACTTCAACGTAATCCTACACAGTACTAAGGGCTTTCGACCACAATTTCATCCTCGCATCGTCCATAATTCCTGAAATGCAAAAGATTCGCTCACGCATTTTTTAATCAGCGTCCCGCTTCCGTCATATTTAACTTTTTACCTACGCATGCATCAGATTCTCAAAGTTCTCTTTTTTATGTTTTGAATAAATGATTCAAACGCTGCTTTGTCGAAAAATGGTGCTAAACAACTGTGTACTTCATTATGTCATGTAGTGACCCAAGCCCTCGGGATAACGCCAGCCAATGAGATAGGAGTTACAGTTTCGGGACAGTGAAGTAAAGGCCAACAAACAAAAGACGTGCAGTTCCAGCAGGAGCAAGAACTACGACGAAGAGATTTGGAATGGTGATTGGTTAAACTCTGTTTGGCCAATGATATTTTTTCATACATATTGTTTAATCGAACTGATTTAGTTATATAGGCGAACAAATACTTCTGTCACACTTTTCCTGTGGCGTGTTAGTGGTAGCTTTTTAACAGGCGACTACTACCGCAATTTCGTATTCTGAATGCGATTTTGATTGTTGATTCGATCACGTCCATTTTGTCAACCTTAATCGGTGATATAGAGATCCACTTTAGTCCACTTTGTCTCAGCTCAAAGCTATTTGCTCCTTTTGTTGAAAAGATAATTGAGCAATTAATTTAACGGTCACGGCTGCGATCACTCGAAGGCTTTACGAAGATATGCTGCAGTGGAAAACTCAGGTGGTAATGATGGGGGTAGTCATAGTGGCTGGATTTTAACACCATTCCTCCGGGTCGTTAGAATGATGCTGTGGATCTATAACTACCGCCGGAATCCTGAAGTTCCATCAACACAAAGTCAATCAAACTAAAATGAAACCTGATACTTCTCAGTTTCCTAGTTGAACGTATAAACTGATACTATTCCTGACACTAGGGTCTGTGTATTGATCCATTGTATATTAATCACTACTTGAGAGTACCCTAGTCTCTCATAGGATTCACAGTTTAGTGTTATAAAAGAGCGTACGGTACACAGTGCATTTTCATAGCATCAGTAACAGGTCAAAAACTATACAATTAGACATGATGGTGAAATGTATGTCGGTTGATATGCAGGAACAGAAGAACTGACGAAGGTAAAATGGGTTAATCACTTGCATTCTACTACACTGGTTGTATTGCTCTCCTTTTCTTCTCCTCAGCCAAGTGAGAACAGTTTCTTCTTGATCTCCAGTTCCATCGAGGTTTATCTCAACGTGGTGGCATTGATCGAACTGTTTTGTTTCAAATTTTGCTTTCAGTAACTTAAACGCACGTGAACGGTTCATGGATAGACTCTTAATAAATGATTATTACCGCACTACTAAATTATGAATACTCTGTCCCAAATGAGCCTCAAGTTCAATCTCGTGTCTGAACGCATCTTTACATACATCAATAGTACCATTTCTTGCCTCGCTAACCTGTTCGTTTAAGATACAGCGATAATTCTCATTTTGTGTTCACTTGTTTTATGTTTGCCAAATTTACTCTGGATGTGTTTATATGTCTCTGTATATGAACAATCCCCGAAAGCGCAATATCCATAATTAACTACAGATAGAGAATAATGAATGAAATAGAACGGTGACTTAAGTATTCAAACATTTGCATCCTAATTGGCCTCCAATTTGAATGTGGGAGATAAACGTTTGTTAACAGTCAATTCTCATTTGTTTTGAAGCTTTTTTTATGACAGGTCATATCTCATCAGTCCAGCCACGGGAGCTTGAGCGCTTGCACAAATTGCTTATGGGCACATGGGTGTGGGATAGGAGGGGCTCTGCTAAGACCAATGCTTACAACCACCATTGTGACTGGACTATGAAACCGCATGTGTTTAGACCGTCCCTTTTTATCTTTAATCACTTTAACCACGTTTCCAGTGCTGTTTGTGTCCAAACCGTGCGAAACTGGAGTAAATACTCTACTTTTCAGACACGCAGGACAATGCTCACGGATGTTCTTGGACAGCTGTCTAGTTCGGCGACCAGCATAATTTGCTCCACAGGAGGCGATAGATGAGTAGAGCCTGGGCGGACAGTAAAGTATCTGCACATTAAGATTTTCTGCCCTCTGGGATACAAATGTGGTCTGGTGCGTACTCTGTTTCACAGGGTACACTAATCAAATAATCCGCAATTCTCACAGGGTGAACTGAACGAATTGGCCCATGCTTTTCTGGATACTTGTTATCTTTTGATCATGATGCGCCTTCCAGTATCACTGTTTGAGTGCTTTGCGTAATTCAAGCGTGGCGGCGGTCTCTAGATGTCGAGAGACAGTGCTGCCTCCACAACAGACAACACTGCTGTTGTGCAAGCAATGCTGGAGGAGGATGCGCGGGTGACTGTGGCACAGCTGGTGATAACCATCTGAATCTCGTCGGGATCAATCCGCACCATCCTACCTGAGAGGCTCGACCTCAAAAAGATTTGCGCACGGTGAGTACATCATCAACTCAGTGAAGAACAGAAAATAGTTCGGGTGGATTGGTGCCGCACCCTGCTTGCAGGTTTGATGGTGGACGTTTCAATGCGGTGCGAGAGATCATCAGTTGTGATGAGACCTGGGTGTACAGTTTCAAACAAGCGACCAAGCCACCATCGGCTCAGTGAACGCTGGTTGGTAGGGCGCCACCTCAGAAAGTTCGACGCCAACGCAGTGATACAAAGTAGATGGTAGGTGCGTACATGGCCAAAACCGGTCATGTGGCTACTATACCAGTCCTGCAGCAAAGCACAGTCACCAGAAATTGATACGTCACCCACTGTCTGCCGAAAGTGCTGGAAGCTGTTGAGAGGCGTCGTCCAGGGACTCGAGTATGAACGATCTTATTGACAAGGCACCTGAACACAGTTCCCATGTCTTCGGTGATTTTATGGGTAGAGAGCGCATCCAGAAGATTGCGTAGCCACTCTACAGTCCAAACCTGGCTTCGTATAACCTTTTGTGTTCCAAAGTGTTAAGCGCATTATGCGTGGAATCCGACACGAGCCACAAACAGCTGCAGTGTAGACAATCATTCAACTTGTCGACGGGTTATTTGCTTTGGCATGGTCAAGCTGTTTCACCAAGTGGTTTGAGCTCATGGAACTGTGCCTGAAGGCTGGTGAATAATACCCAGAGGAACGGTAAAGCTCATTGTTGTGTGACAAATGCAAGTTTTTGTCAACGTTTTGCTCAGCTCTTGTATCTGGATCGAAAAGTCATAATAAATCCTATCCTCCAGTGCTCGCTTTCTCCTTCTCATTACATATAGATATATATATATATATATATGTTGTCTATCGAACAACTAGTGTATCCACACACCCGGAAAAAGAAGATCTGATTCAATCTAGCAACTCTAGCTTGATATACTAATTCCATTGTGGATGCGGAGCAACCCAAGTGGGCAAAACAGAGCAATTAATAGGTAACCTGGTAGTTGAACATAGTCTTAATGGGTTCCAAAGACAGGTGACACAATCGAGGTCAAGTTCGCTGCATGGAAACGATGGTGGAAACTACAAAACTACGTCATCAATCATAGCCGGGCATCTTCTGATGACAAAACATCGAATTAACGGAAGTACAGAGTTTTGGAATATCTACAAGTCACGAATTGCAAGATCGCTAGGGTTTATAGAAGTGATTTTTAATGATTCATGGAAGCCCTCCTCTCTGTATCAACAAAAATAACTTAGCCAGTGTGTGCTTACCATGGTGATATGATACTTGACCTCTTCCATTTTACGTTTATCTGTTTTAATGTATTTTACTTTGCTTGTTGCCAGACTAAAGCCCCATATAAGCACTGTGTTTCCTACAGTTTTCGACATGTTGAGATGCAGTGTCATCGTCCAGAACATTAATCAGGCAGTGCTGCGATATGGTCTTTTAAAATTGACCTCGAAAAAGTCTTGCTTCAAGTTAACTGACCTGCATCAAGAGGTCAATTTGGCAAACAAGCTCGTTATATAGGTCAAAAATATAATTCACGGAAACGGAAAAAGATAGTAGATAGTAGATAATGTCTGCACTTGTATGCGTTTCTATAGTCACAGTGCTGAAAATTCAACCTTTAAATGCATCAACCGTATGTCGTCCAGACAAGTTTCCCTTCAACGTGTATTTTAACGGTGCATACGAAGTGAGGTGTTAGCATGGTTGAACCGATATTTGTAAATTCTTTTCTAATATCTAAGCTTAGTTAATTCTATTGAGGGTGGCGGTTAAGCTGGTGGAGAAACATTACTGATCTGAAATGCCCACCGCCCCAATGAATTAGTCTATATTTTACCCATAAATGTTTTTGGTTCCGTAAAGAAGTTCCTTGTAAAGGGCTTTCGAAGAGGAAAAGAGGACAACTGAAAACTTTCAAATGATTTCACGGGATTCGTCCCCAGTTCTACTTTCGTGTGCATTCCATTGTAAAAGTTTGAGAATGAAATCCGTCAAAACATATTGTGGCCTACAGTTCGTAGGTTCACTAGTTGAATCAGATAATCTTGTGATATTGAGCAAGTTTTATTCGGTAATCCACGGAAATTTTTTGCTTCAGCGGGCGATGTTCGCCGAGGTAAGTAATGGGTGGCAATGGATGACCAAGCTAAAACCAGGTATAAGGGTATGAAACCTTAACCAGGAGCCTGTATCACATAGGTTCCGTCAGGCTCCCCTGATGTTCATCCACATGGGCAACCGAAAGACAGCAACCAAAACCGGCGCACGATGGTGTATGGCTAGTGGTTGTACAAACTGAACTGAACAGGAAATTTCAAATAAATGCAGGCATAATCTTAAATGATCTCTGATCAATCTGCTCTAACGACTGATGAACCGCTCGCCAATACAAACTCACATGGACTTCAGTTAGTACCAGTGTTTGTCCTCTTTGATATTTGTTAGCACTGATGCTTCAAGGTTACAAACACAAGATGATAGATGCCCTTAAAACAAATTCCTCAAACTCACTTACCAAGGATACCATCTGTTCAATCAAATAGTATTCTTCGCTATTCTCACCCATCAGATTGTGTTCCTTTGCTAGCCACCGAGCGATTGCCATCCTTTCATTGTAAACCATGTCTTCCCCGTTTGGTCGAGAAGCCCGCAGGACAGGCATGCGATCGTTTGGTGAAGTCTGATGCAGTACACACCAATTCTCTGTCTCAATCAGCTGCTCTTCGTACTCAACGCCAGCCGTATGAAATATCATGCGCACAGGTTCCGCCTTGCCACATATGGCGAAATCTGTTAGCTTCGTAGAGGCAGGTTTGCGTTCCAGGAGGGGTGGGGCAAGAAATGAAAGGCGTTGCTAATGATTGATCGACTAGCATACAGTTCTGCAATTAGGGAATACTTGTTGTAGTATACTGTCACTATTAAAAATTGAGTGAGAAACAGGTTGAAAAGTGATCCCTGTATAACAAAGGATCACTTGATTAAATAAATGACACAAACAGTTTTCTGAGGATAGAAAACATTCGGACATTAGAAAGTGAGTTGTGTATGGTGAAACTGGTTAAAGCTAGTTAACTTCTTCATTCGAGCGGCCACCAGCTGGAGAGTGAGCACCGCGCTGAAGTCACAGGCTTATTAACACTTATTAAATTGTTAAAATTGTTGTTTGGCAGATTTGAAGTGTTTTTTGTCGATTGTGAAAAGTCCAGTAGCCCCGGTGGGATTCGAACCGACGCATGTACGAAGCCTACGCTTTTGAACAGCACACGCTCTACCGGCTGAGCTACGAGGCCACACCGATAGCACTGATCTTTTCATATTCCAATTACCAGTCCCACCGAGACAACTCAACTTTCCACAATCGACATACAAACTTCGAATCCGCCAAACAACAATTTGGACAATTAACCTTACCTTAGAAGTTCATTCGGCGGACTCCGGTGAATTTTAAGGAAAACCTAACGGGGCAATCAGCTTACATGCTAACTGGTGGATACCACATGACTCTGTAAGTTGGATTGGTAAATTCGAACTTGAAAAGATCAGTGCTATCGATGTGGCTTCGAAACTCAGGTGGTAGAGCGTGCGCTATACGAAAGCGTGGCCGGCGCCCATATGTGGGTTCGAATCCCACTGAGGCTACCGAACTTATGAAATTCTTGTCTCAGACCATGCAAGCATGTTCTGATCTGTTTTACCCTTTACATCTTCTGGAAAGAAGCATACTGTATGCGATACATCTCACCCTAAGTACCTTTATCCGCATATCGTGGTAGTGCCTTGGGAATATGAAAATCTTGAGTCAGAGTTTTATTCACTTCTATTGAAAAAGATCCCGTTTGGTTGGTTAAATATGAGAGTTTGATGGAATTTTAAAATAAATCATAAATTGTAATCGCAGTGATTTGAATCAGCTCTAATGTGTAAGAGACTTCTTGAACATCCGGTGATCAATAAGTAACTGCTCCAAGAGACCATTGGCCCTCCAGTAATAACAACAAAATCTCAAATGAAAAGCAGAAGGATATTTTTTCGAATGAAAATTCAGTTTTTATTGTTTTTCTTAGAAAGGAAATAATACATTTGGTGAGCTGTCAGCATTTCGTTTAGTCTCCTCAACTGCTGAAGTAAAACAAACATGGAACGTTTGTTGAAATTCTGACTCCAAGTGATCTTCCAACATTTTCCAACGAGGGAGACCAGTTTTCATCAAAGTTCTACAATAAAGTTCGAGATAGTTTCCACATCCATGCTGGATGACGATCTTGCACGTGATCGATCAACTGCCCACTGGTCCGACTGATATCACTATCCTTACATGAACCAGGTTAATCTTCGCATGCCTACTGAAATGGTTGTCAGTGTAAGTCGACATCTGAGCAATTTAATAGAATACGGACGAACATCCGTAATTTGGTGGCGCTGAAAGTGCTACTTACTGCACTGGAAATCGTCTTTTGACACGCTTTCAGAAAAGCTAAATGAGGACATTTGAACAGGTCTCACTTCTTGGAATCTTTAGTTTCATATAAAGTTTGATAATTTTGTCCAAATGGTTGACTTCCCTTAATGTATTCGGCAAACAGTTAGTTCAGTTTTTATCTAGCCCGGACACTAATAATTATGCTCTGATATTTCAGACAACTCGTCACGTTGCATCCGCGGTTGACAGTACTGTATTCCAGAAATTCGTAGTATGTCCGATTCTGGTGCACTGTGTGTATGATCCGTTGGATTAACCAATCTTTTGCCTTCAAAGTAAATACATGCAGACGCGTTCTTTCTTCTCCAAGCCGAAGCATGCGTTACTGTAAGTCCCACCGAACGCTAATTGTGTTGACGTGAAAATATCATCCAAATAGCGGAAATGCATCCATTCGAAGTATCTCACAGACCCTATTTGGCCAGAAGTCTTCTCATTAGATTCCGTTTGCAGAACAATCACTGAACAACTGAGAGATACCAGGAGCAAGTGAAATAATCGGAGTAGATGCAAAGCACAAATTGCAAGAGAAACACGAAGTAGTACTGGTGATCGTATGCAGAAAGTTTCCGTCACCGAGATTCAGGAAGAAGATCACAGAAGTAGCGGGTAGTTTGGTGAAGTTAATATTATGGATAACGAAAAGTCCTTAGCTAAACAGAGTTTGATTAATTGCATTCGAGTTCTCTTCATCACCCAGTTTCTGCCGGAATCGAAGCCTTCTTATTGATCGACGCTACTAGCATGCGGTTCGTTTTTCAGAAGATGTAATGCGTAACCCCTTGACTGATGTTACTTTTGAAAGTTTAATCATCACAGCTAGTCATTAGGAATTTTTGCAACAGTTTTCGTCACCTCTTTATCGCGGTTGAACTTTTTTAATTTCTCCTTGTCTATTTCGATGTTTTCGTGGATTATTGTAATCATCACTGTTTATTAACACAAATCCCTTGCTTTAATCTGGTTTGCAAATGATAGAGCTGGTATCAGTGTTCAATCTTTCATTGCTTCTTGATGGCACCTCGTCAGAGAACCATCGATGACATTCCTATTTTATTGATCAAATTAGCATCACTGGATAAGTATTGATTTGTTATTGTATGGTCCCACTAATGAGGTTAGCTTAATGCATTGAGTGTGAATCAATGAATTATCCAGTTGAGTTTCAATTTCGGTTTGACTCTCAAAGATACCCGAATTACAAGATTTCATTCCAATGAAGCTCGTATCCGACAAATCGTGGACAGAACTCTCGGGTGTGTTGGAAATTTCACATGCGCTGTTCTTACATCGAGCGTGTGAATCAAATATATCCGTTTTGTTGAACCTACCCTCAGGTCTCAGCCCAACTATTTTAAAAATAGTCCGGTTCAATCCGATCAAAAGTATAAAATCGATAGAAATCATATCATTTCTTCCATACAAGCTAGACACTGTTATCATTCATCTGAAAACCTGATGAAAGACAGCTATGATCCAGCGCATACCCCATAACACAATTTGAACCTTTCGTGCAGTCCGTTGTCCGGAGGAGAATTTGTTCCTTCCCAATTTTTTTTCCTCAATTTATATGTGCACGTTTAACTGCGCTCGTCCGTATTCGTCCTGTGCTTAACAACAAGTTTAATCTCACAACTGCTATATGTAAAAACTACTTCGACTTCAGAAACTTACCACTCCTCAAATTACCACAAAATGACTACACGAGGTCTGCAGACTTCTTCATGTGAACACATTGCACAGAGGAGAATGGGTTGCCACACCATCAAGTCATGTGCGGAGATTCCGTTTATTACGAATCAGCTATTGATCCTGGCGCGTTACAGATTTCTTTCCAAAAGGAGGTGATGTTGTGGCCTGAAGTGGATTGAAATGTCTACCGCATATCACATGATTGACCGTTCCGGCCTGCTACTACACGCATGCAAGCACTTCGTGCGGACTTACTCTATTACGAGGTCGATCCGCGTCAGCGTACCACAGGTCAGTATTGACCTGTTCGCATTGATTGTTTCGTTGTCAGCGTGACGACATTCTCCTTGTGGTAACGCTTGCACCTGTTTGGCCTGCCTTCTCACCTGCATGTTGATGCACTGCTTGCTCACCGGCTTACGGACCGGCCCATTTTGCCCGCTACTTTTGCCGTACTGGAGATAAAATAACTACTTCATTCACTACTTGCGTACTTATTGACTTATACGGGATACATTACGTTTCTTCCCCTTTTATATAAGTATAAGTCATTAGGATGTTTCTTAAGCCTTCGAGGAATACCCACAGACGTGCTACGCAAACTGCGATTCCGCTGCATATTTAAAGGGGACACTCTATGGAGAAGGAGATTGTATAGAAATGTGTTCACAACTGAGATCACATTCAGAGAAGTTTCTTATGACACTACTCAAAAACAATCAACTAAATAATGCCATTCATAATCCCCCCCCAAAAAATATTGCTATTTTGGGTGAATCCAACAGAGCACGAGATAAACTCCTAGATAATTTTGCCTGGGCTTTAAATTAATGTCAAATGCGGTTCTTGGACATGAAGTAGACACTGATAAACGCGTGAAAAGCTGAATAAACCATTCAACATAACTTATCGGATTCCTTTAAATCAATCCAAGTACGCAAGGCTGCGCATATTAATCGTACATGAAGTCACCTATATTTGATGTCTCAGCTATGCACCCGGAAGCGCTTAAACAAAGCTCGTCATTACATCCGAGTTCTGGACTCTACCCTAACCCCTGTCTACATCCACATACATATACAAACATTCCATAAGTGACGTCCCAGGCAGTCACAAAAGAATAACAGGATGTGAACAAACACATACATACATCCACAGTGATCCGTTCCAATATGGTCTGAAACCTTTGAAGTAGTTTACGGGTTTTAGGTTATACTTAGTAGTCCTGGATCTGGGTTGTTATCCGTTTTTTCTGTAAATCCGCTCTTAGCCTTCGAAGGCTTCATTTTCACATGTGTAATATGACAGCTTTACAATCGCATATACAGGAATAATCTAAACAACAAAACGACGGTAGCAACACGAGATGGAGCTCTCCTAAATGTTTCATTTATCTCTGTACATACTTAAACTGCTCGAGAAGGTCTGCTGCTTGAATGTATGAGTGTACGCATTTTATTGATGAGGTGTAAAACGATCATATTCGTGTTCATCAATCTTCACCTGCAAACTTTTGGCAGTGTGACAGGTATCCCGGTCGCATTATCAACAGATGATGTAGCGTCTACCTAACCAGAATGATTTATCGATAGGGCCATTCCAGAACACGATAAACGGTCAACTGAAATAGCAGCAGTTGAGAAGTCTGTCTACGTGCATCTGCCGTTCAAGGGTGGTACGGAGGCAGAAATCAATCAAATCAAATAAAGCTCGCTTACGCAGTAAGTGGAACATTTTACGCGGCACAATTAAAGACTGCGTTCACAAGAAAACCAATTATTTCCGACTGAATGACAGAGTGACAGGTGTAACATGCCTTATTTTGTGCATACTCGTTCACCTGTTCCTGTGGGACTGGGTACATTGGTCGCACTACCAGGAACTTATCCGATCGCGTTAGTGAACCGGTGTTCACGACAGGTTTGACTGAGGACAGGAACAATTAAGACAATTACGAGCGCGGCTTTTTCGTATATCGTTGAGTCAGATCAGCGGGGGGATGCAGCAGGCGCGTTCCGACCGATTCACAAGGTTCGAAGTGGGCAATCAAGAACAGTGAAGCATTGTATCTTATCCATGTTCAAAGCAGCAACTATTCGGATTCGTAATCCCAACTCAACCCCACCCCCGTTATGCACCCAGAAGAAATCGCCACAGTCACTAAATACCCCCTCGTGTCCAATCACTTGAACTTTTGACACTGATCAATTTCACATAGACACACACTTTGGAACCGGGGCTGAATCATCACTACTCGAATTTCTCATTCCCTGGTTGTTGTTGGTGGTGGTGGTGGTGGTGGTGACGGCGGTGTTGCAGCTCTAAGTCGTCCTCTTCTGTCCCCCAGGAGAACTCATGCCGTGATACAGTGTATCTGCTACTATGCCGCACCCGTGCGAAGATACTTTTTTAACTATCCTCCGTAAGAAACGTTATGATTAATACCCGTTGGGGGGAGGCACACAGATACCAGGACGGTGTCATTTTATGACAAAATGTGTTTGAATCCATTCGCTAACCTACGCATGTTTTCATTCACAAATCTGTTTAGTCCCCTCTCTCCTTTGTCACTGTCGTGACCCGTGCGTATTATTGATCAGC